CCAGACTTTGTCGAAAGCCTGGGCTATGTCTAGGAATACTGCAGTACAGTATTGGTTTTTGTTCAGTGCTTGACATATGGTATTGGGGATGCGATGGCTTTGTTGAGTGGTTGAGTGCGCTCTGCGGAATCCGAACTGGTGGTCTGGGGTCCAGCTTGCTGGATTTGAGTCTTGGTTGATTTTGTTGAGAAGTAGTTTTTCAAGGAGTTTTGCTATTATTGGTAGGAGACTTATTGGTCGGTATGAGGATACGTCGGTTGGGTTTTTCCAGGTTTTAATATCATTAAGATTTGGGCTGTTTGAGCGGGAGGGGCCAGTAGTTTAATCGGAGAATAGCGTTGAGTAGGTATAGGAGTTTGAGTCGTCCTTTTTTTGGTAGTTGTTTTAGAATTTCGGTGGTGATTAGGTCTAGTCCTGGTGCTTTTTTGGGTTTTAGTGTGTTTATTGCTGTGTGTATCTCCTTTAGCGTGAAATGCTTTGGTTGTGTGGGTCTTTGCATAGTTTCGTTGAGCTTTGAATCTACTTCCTGCAGTGGTAGGTTGTCCTGGGGGGTGAATACTTCTTGTAATTGTTCTGCAAACAATTCAGCTTTCCCTTGATCGCTTCTTGCCCATTTGCTTGGAGGAGTCGTGCACTTTCATATTGGTGGGGTAACTGGTGTTGGTCGTCTTTTGTTCCGTATGGGTTTCCAGATAGAGTTGTCTTGTCTGGAGAGGTTTGCGGTATATTTTTCTTAGGATGTATTCCATAAGTCCTGCAGTTGTAGTTTTAGTTTGTTGCTGAGTTGGCTGAGTTTTCATTTGTTTTCCGGGGAATGGGGTTTTTGCCAGAGTGATCTTGCTCTTCTTTTTTTCGGCAATTAATTTTTTTGTCCTTACTGGGATGTCGTTAGGGGTGGGGGTATGTTGGAATGTAGGGGTTGCTGTTTTGGCTGCTTCTTGTAATAGGTTTATGAAATGTTTGTAGTCTCTTTCTATGTCGGTTGGGTCCTTCAATTTGGTGTTTAGTGTTGTGTTGGTCTCTATGATTTGTCGGAATAATTCCCAATTTGTTTTGGAAGTATGGAGCTTGGGCTTGGATTTTTTTGGGAGTACTATTGTGCGTAATGTTGCTATGATAGGAGTATGGTCGGAGGTCAGATCTAGACTTGCGGTGATGTTTATGTAGGATTGGGAAATGCCTTTTGTTACGAAGAAGTCCAGTAGATCTGGAATTTTTTCCTTATCTGTTTGCCAGTATGTCGGAGAGCCGGTAGATATGCATCAGCAGCAGTTGTCAGTGATTGTCCCGTGTAGTTCTCTTCCTTTTGTGGTGGTGAGCCTTGATCCCCAGAAGGTATGTTTGCTGTTGAAGTCACCACCAGCTGTAAATTGGTTCCCCAGGGTGCGAAAGAAGGTCTCATAGTGGGTTTTCTTAAGGTTGAATCGAGGGGGCAGTAGATCGCGGTAACGGTGAAGGGGTAAGGGAAAGTTGTGATTTTGATTGAGGAAGCTTGGATGTGTGGCTCTTCGTACTTGTGTAGGACGAAATGATCTATAGTTTCTTTGATTATGATTGCTGTTCCTCCATGCGCTTTGCCGTCGGGGTGGTTGGTTTGGTAGGTTTTCTATGTTGATATAACTTTTGTCGGTGAAATGGGTTTCGCTGATTAGGAGGATATCTATAGCGTTCATCTTTAGGAATATTTTTATTTCCTCTTGATGATTTTGTAGGCCATTGGCATTCCATTGTGCCATGAAGAATAAGTGAAGCAAGAAACCAGCGTGAAGTAAGTTGTAAACAGAGCTTGGCTTATTCTTCAACCCTGAAGATGTAGGTGATATGTTCCTCTGAAACGTCGGTTGACTTCCAGTGAACTACACGGCGTTAAATCCTAGAAGATCTTTATAACTACCCCTGTGAGAACGTAAAATCCTACAAGAAGATAGAAGGCTCCTCCCAAATCTTGGGACGCATCTACGAGACTTCATGGCGTCACATCCCAGAAGAAAGTAATCTTGATAACCTAAAGCTTCCCACATTGCGTCACTATGGTAACGGACGATGAACCGGCGGAAGTGGTAGCTCATTTTATGGCACTGTCACGATCTTTTTTAATAACGCATTTTCAATTACAGAGGATATTTAGCTTCGAATGAGGTGACCTAATGTGAATGTATAGTGAATTGGAGGTAGAATCCTGGTACCCGCCTCTCAGATTACACAGCATCCTTATTTAGAAGAACAGAAATTTCGAGAGGAACTTAGAATTTCGACATTTTCCACGAGTACCTGAAGAAAACCACGAAATATGACAATCAATTTCCGGGTGATATTTGACTCTATTTAACGATATGTTATGAGTTACTGGATACTAACTATCACATTTTTATTATAAATTTTATTTTACAGTCTTATGTGCAACTACTTATTAACTGAAAACCTTTAAAAGAACTTAAGTTTAAAATTTAAAATTTAAAATAAATAGTTATACACAAGAGTGTAAAATAAGATTTATAGTAAAAATGGAAGAGTGCAACAGGATGCTACAATACGAGAACTGTCACAGCTGATATTCTCTCAGCTTGCCAGAGCCCATTAAGATAGGCCGCGCGGTCTCATGTTTCTCACACTTCTTCCCGTGTCTCATCTATAGCGGTTCATATGACATCGAAAAACAATTGAATAACGAACTAGCCTAGGATGGATATGAACCAAAGCCTCCCGTGTGTGCGGATGAACTCCTTTGTTTGCGCACTTGCTTGTACCTATGTTTAGACCATTCGTGCATACGGTTCGGACAAGGAGGCGACGTTCTCTTTCCTCTGGAATGACATTTCACCTTCTTTTTTTTTCAAAATACCATGAGGTGCGTTACGACACTTTGCTCTTTGGGAATTGTCTCGTGGTGATATTTCGGTAACATGCAGATTCCAAGGCTAGATAATGCATGCAACTGTGTCTGGCTATGCTGCTCAGCCTTGCGATGAATGGAGCGAAACACTTCACCTCACAACAGGTCAACCGAGTTCCTTCTAAGACCCAAGAGCACGCTCCACTTTTATGCCCATCTCTGTCTTGTTTCTTTTTCCGGAGACAGCGATCTGGTGATCACGTCCATATATATTGGAGTGGTCAGGAGAATGTGAGGGCTGGACTAGTACCAATGTTCACGAAATGGGGTGGGTGGTACTGGGTTCGGGTGACGAAATGTCTGGTACTGAGATTCATGCAAATCAGCGGGTGGTACTGAGGTTCATGTTAGCGAGCGTGCTTATGTTCCCGTGAGGAAGTGAGTGGTACTGCGGTTCGTGAGATGGAGTGAGCGTGCTTATGTTCCCGTGAGGAAGTGGTTGAATGGTGCTAAGGTTCATGTGATGAAGTGAGCGTGCTAATTTAGCCGTGAAGAAATGCGTTCTAGTCAGGTCCATGTGAGGAAGTCGGTGATACTTACATATTCCTGTGTCGTTCTGGTTCCTGTAGCGGACGCTCCACAACACGCTCGATGTGCAGGGAGTGAGTGTGAGTGACAGAGGGCTCTGCTCTCGCTCATGTAGGAAGAAGAACCTGCGCAGAGGAAAGGGTCTTCATTATTAAGAACAAGCACAGCATTAAGCATTTCTGCAGTACCACTGAAAATGAAGGGAGTGGAGAGTGTGTAAGGAGTCTGGTGAGAGGCCGGAAGGGTTCCTACATGACACGTTGTTAGTGATCGATCTTATAAAGTCTGAAACTCAGGGATTTGTTGGTTCGATTCCTGCCAAGGAAATTCGTGTAGGTTCATATCATATAAAAGATTTGGAGTTTTCACAGTTGAGAAGATTCGTATTGCGCTTACGAGGTGGGTAACAAAAAATGAGATTGATTTTGTAAAAATAATTGATTCAATTATTTGTCTAAATCAAGACTCTCCTCTTCAAAGTAGCATCCCTATGATGCAGCGCACTTGGCCCAGCGAAAATTTGCACGCTTCATGTAGGATTGGAAGTAGGCTTTTGCTGGGGTTTTGGTTGCGTCGGTCCCAGCCTTCTGAGCGCTGCCAACTGTTTGAAAATGAAAATGAGAGGCCTTGACTCTAAACTATAGAGGAACGTGCTGCATCCATCTTCAGGATAGAAAAGAAAGTCCAGCAAGCAAGAAATCGACCCCGAAGATGGAGGCAGTACATTCATCTGAATTGTCAGTAAGTTCTGCCAGTCTAAACGGTGTCACACCTCAGAATATAGTACGCTTACCACTTCGAGATGTTCACATCGATCACGTAACAATGAAATAAAAAAAATTGTGACAATGGTATATTACTTACTTATTTATCAAGCTGAGCCCTTCATGAAGAGAAGCCAATTATGCAGCTACTGAAGAATTTCTCAGCATTTTATGGAACCCGAAGGTTTATTACCGTATTCACAAGAGCCCTCCACTGGTCCCTATCCTGAGCCAGATCAATCCAATCCATCCCATCCCATCATATCTCTCTAAGATCCATTTTAATATTGTCCACATACCTACGCCTTGATCTTCCCAGTGGTCTCTTTCCTTCTGGCTTTCCCACCAATATCCTATGTGCAATCCTCTTCTCACCCATTCGTACTACCTGTCCTGCCCACCTTATCCTCCTTGACTTGATCATTCTAATTATATTTGGAGAAGAGTACAAGTTATGAAGCTCCTCATTATGAAGTTTTCTCAAACCTCCTGTCACTTCATCTCTCTTTGGGCCAAACATTCTCCTCAAACACCCTCAGTGTATGTTCCTCCCTTCATGTCAGACACCAATTTTCACAGCCATACAGAACCACAGGCAAAATTATAGTTTTGTATATTCTAATTTTTATGTTTTAGATAGCAGACGAGAAGACAAAAGGTTCTGGACTGAATGGTAGCAAGCATTACCCGAGTTCAGTCGCCTCTTAATTTCCTCCTGAATCCGGTTTTGATTTGTGATCGTTGTTCCCAAATATCTTAACTGTGTCACATTTTCAAAACATCTGTTTCCCATTTTATGTCATGATTTTGCCCTGCATTTTGGTGACGAGACAGCAACATATACTTAGTTTTCTCTGTATTTACTTCTAGACCAACCTCTTTACTTGCGTCAATTAAAGTTTGTGTGTTTTTCTTTATGGTATCTACATTATCACCCAGTAGATTCCCATCATAGGCATAGACCAACAGCTGGTATATTACTAAAAATATTATTTTTCTGGACATTATCCATCGTCCTGTTTTTATTAAAATCATTTTTGTAGACTGGTTTCTGCCTCCGTCTTCATGTAAAACTTACTCAGTTGGGCCAATCGATAAAGCCAGTCCCTATTTCCGGACATATGTACCAACAACAGATAGAGTATACAAACCAAGCACAGCACGAACCGCCTGCGAGAGTTAAGACTTATATTAATATATTTAAAAAGTCCACACGTATGAGACCTTGCACCGAATAACTATCAGAATAGAAATCGCCACTGGAGAGAAATTCTCCAAAAATAAAAAACCCAAATTTTCATGTGTTGATTGTGTGGGAAAATTTACTTGTATACCCTATCAATTGGGTCCAACTGATTAAATTTTACCTGAGGATGGAAACAGAATCCAGTCCCCGAAATGCTGTATTTTAAGTAGAGACAGGATGACTAATAATGTTTGTGCGGAACAGTGAGATGCATATTGTGCATGCAAAATAAAATCTATGAGATTTGAATTACTTACAATGACTTCTGGGACTTGACGCGGGGCATTCTTTTATATATTTGCTGACTTTCCCACTCTGAAGATGGAAGCAACACGTACCTCCAGAACGTCCATAAATATCTACGAGACTACACGGCACCACATCCCATAATACAGGTAATTTCAAATTGAATAATGTTTTAATTTACGCTCCTGTGGGAATACCTCCTCTGTGGTCTAGTGGTCAGAGTTCCTGCCTACAGATACAGAGGTCCCGGGTTCAATTTCCGGCGCTACCAGATATTCTGAGAAGTAGCGGGTCTCGAACGGGGTCCACTGAGCCTCATAAAGATAATTGAAGAGCTAGTTCAAGGAAATAGCGGCTCGGGTCTAGAAAACCGAGATTAACGGTTGTGGGGATCCATTAGAGGGTGTCACTAAGTGACACCCTCTATCCGCAAAAGTTGGCACTAACTTCGTCTACAAGCGGCGGTTGCTCGGTGGGTATAGTTCGCTTGCGGGCTGAAGGTCACGGAGTTTTTTTTTTTTTAATTTCCGCTTCTATGGAAATAACAGAAATTTCATATCTACTATAGTGCGTCTAAAATACATCTGACAGTACGTCATGCTTTGGATGGACAACGTCACACATGAAATTTCATTTATGTATGACGATTTGTTTCCCGTCGTAGGTCGCGAATAGTATCTAGCAACTCTCTAATGATGACGTAGCGATCTACGTCACCTTCGGATGTTGAGGAAACTTCAGAGACGGTTCAAGCAGACAAATGGGCCCAGACAAGTTCCTGAGCCAGGCTCAACTATATATATATATATGGTGTGGATTGCTTATTACTTCGAACAATGACATCATATGGTGGTTGCCAAGATAACCATTGCAAGTGATGGTCAGTTTATGAACATTCTCCTTTCTTCGGACTAAAACCGTCTGTACAAATATACAGAGTTCTGGCTGATCTTTGAAATCTTGAGAATTGTAGAAAAGGCTATTCAAATAAATATGAGATCCGACATAGCACTTCTGCTATTTACAGAACTAAACTTAGGCAGAACATGTCAGTAATGTAAGTGCAGTCTAATAGTACAATAAATTGTGTCGTAACATTTCTACGTTTAGTGTGCCATTGTTTCCTTCAGGTTTTCAATTCGTTAGAGCCCCAACATGAAGCTCTCCTATAAGTAGCATGAAACTGGTAACCTTAAAGCTTGGGTTTCCTCAGGTAGCGGTACCGTAATCAAGCAGCCGTAATATGACGGTGAATGACGTCACTAAAACGTTGCCATGGAAACAAAGGAACATGGTTTCCTAGAAAGCGTTGACCAGCAACAATTTCTAGGAAACCATGTTCCTTTGTTTGCATGGTAACGTTTAATTACGTCATTCACCGTCATATTACGGCCGCTTGATTACGGTACCGCTACCCGAGGAAACCCAAGCTTTAGCAAAGCACTGATTAATGCGAGTGTTTTTAAATATGTCTTTCCACATTTCACACAACAAAGACATCAGGGCCGAAGTCATGCGACCATTACGGAAGAAATTACAGTAGAACTTGGTTATAACGTCATCAAAGGGACCTAAAAAGAGTGTCGTTATAAACGAATGTCGTTGTAACCGAAATGGGCACTTCCACAGTAGCCTTATGTTAGTCACGTAAAAATCTACCAAAAACCGAGTTAAAATGTTGCATTTTTTAGTGAAATACGTAGTTAAGTACAGACTAACGTAACATTAACGTGGAATTAATATGGATTCTCCATATCGTTTGTACTGTAGAATTCACCAAACCAAATTCGCGGCATACATCAGCTTTTTTCCTTCCATTTTCTATTTCACGAATCACTTTAACTTTCTCTTCAATGCTTAAAACTTTCCTTTTCATTGCCATGTTTTCGCTACTGCACTTCTCTGGGTTTAGGCAGGAACACTATAGGGTAAGTAGACAATGTGAGGTCCTGTTAGACGAGATTCTAGGAAAGGAATGCAGTTAACAACCTGCCACGTCCTCTTGCACTATTCACGCAGTCCCACCCCACACCCTTGTTTTCGCATAAAACCCACGCTCCTCTTGCAGCCCGCGGTCGTATTCTTCCAGGACAGTCACGTCAGCAAGTAGAGAAAGTGAGGGTGGGCAGACACATCGAACTTTCCCACGATATCAGAGAAATTCAGGAATGAAAATGACGTTACATACGAGGTTGATGCATTTGTGCATGTCGTACTAAGCAAGGTATAAAAACAGTTGCTTTATGAGGAATTAGTTCGTACCATTGAATATTTGACGCAATAGAAAAGGTGTCGCAGAAACCGATGTTGCTATAACCAAGTTTTACTGTATTTTGTTCGATTTGAGGTTCTCATGCCGGTAACTGTGAGGAGTGATGTAGTCAGATGTTCTTCGATGTTTCGGAGTAGTGTACTCGTAATTGTCTTCTACTTTAGAGATATCTTCATCTTCATGCTGACTGCTGCTTGGCTTACTCTTCGACTTCGAAAATTTTACAAAATTACACGGTGTCACCTTCTATAATACGTTATTTTTTAAGAAATTCTTATGCTTTTATTACCTTAAGTAAACCCCATTCACTATTAGAATCATGAAGAAGAGATATCTTAGCACTATAATGTACAAGAAAACTCCTTGGACTATAATCCGCAAGCAAATTATACCGACCGAGCGACCGCCACTTGTCTGCGAATAGAGGGTATCACGTGGTCAGCGCAACGGATCCCCACGGCCGTTAATCTCGGTTTTCTAGACCGGAGTCGCTATTTCCTTGAAATAGCTCCTCAATTATCCTCACGAGGTTGGGTGGACCCCGTTCCAGACCCACTACTTCTCAGAAAAGCTACTATAATGTACATTCAGGCCGCG